TGAAATTGGCCAAATTACTGATTTCTGATCACTTTACTGGGTAGTGGAATTAGATAAATGGGTGGTTTCTTATACTCAGTCGATAGAAAAGAAGGAATACTAGTGAAATAGCTATGAGTTTGACTGGAATAATGGAACTGGCTGAAAATAAGGCTCAAGGTTTTCCATCAAATTTCGTACTTTTGGTTTCATTACCTTCAGAAACAGATCTTCATTTCATTAGAAAAAATTTTTTTTTTTTTTAATTCTCTGACCATGAGACCAAGTTTCAGATCAGGTGTTCTGACCCTCAAAGGGTTAGACATAACTAACATTAATATGACAAAAACCATGCTTATGAGTGGTAAGGAAAAATGCATAATTCAGTTGCACCTCGTACTGATCCACGTTGAAATTAGGCTAAAGATATTTCAGATTATTTAAAACTAAATTTTATCAATAGAGGACTTGCAGAACAGATGGGGTTCAAGCCCATGATGCACCAGTCCTAAAACTGGAAGGCAACTGCACAATCTGCTGTACCATTCCAACCTAATAAGATTCATCCAACTAGGCATATTCTATATCCTAGAAAGGTTAGCATGGGCTCCCACTTAACCACAGTGGTCACTGTGACTACAAGTGGGTTTTTACATAAAATCTTATGCCAACATATTATGGTTATGGCAAGCTCTAGCTGAAATAGCTTTAAAGCAATTATCAATGATTCTTTGATAATGAAGGGACTAGGGCTAACCACAGCCATGTTGGTGCAAATTTAGTCTGCAAAAACTTATATTGTGGTCACAGTGGAGTCTATGCTAACCTTTTTATGGTATATGCCTGGTTGGATGAACCTTGTTAGGTTGGCATGGTACAGTGGACTGAGCACTGATCTGCCAGTTTTAGGACAGGCCTGCCATGGCTTCAAACTCCTATCTGTTCTGAGAGTTGTTTACAACTGTTAGTTTGATTTCACTAGTCTTCAATAGAGGAATTGCAGTCATGGGTGGTGTGCCAATGCTACCGATATAAGGTCTACCCTCTGAGTGATGGGACCTTTAATGAAAGTGCCCTTCTTCTACGCACTGATATTCCGTACCATCAGCTATTTGTTCGTACTTCGCTGCATTACACAGCAGCCCGTATCCACTTGCATAGGTGGTATAAGCTCTGTTCTTTATATCTCTCTCCTTCTCGGGCATTATCTATTCCGGATATTGCCTTTCTTGTTTCGTCATTACCACCACCGATTCTGTTACTTGGTGATTTTAATGCCCACCATTTCCTCTGGGGGGGTCTCACTGTGATTCCCGTGGCATTCAGTTAGAGGCTTTTTTTGCCACCCACCCCCTCCATGTTTTAAATACAGGTACTCGCACCCATTTTGATCCTCGGACTCACACTCTCTCTCGCATCGATCTCTCAGTCTGCTCTTCCTCCGCCGCATTAGACTTCACTTGGTCTGTTCTTCCGGACTTACATGACAGCGATCATTTCCCAATCATTCTTACTTCCCCTTCATATTCACCACCTCTTCGCATCCCCACGCTGGCAATTGATCAGGCAAATTGGAACCTTTACTCACACCTAAACTGTTTTTAGAGAGGTTTCCTTCTTCGTCCTCCATCGATGAGCTTTTACACCTCTTCTCGTCCTCCGTTTTAGACCACAGCTTCTCATTCTATACCCCAAACTTCGGGCAGGCATTCTCAGAAATGCGTGCCTTGGTGGTCTCCTGCTTGTGCTCGTGCAGTACGTTTGAAACGCGCTGCATGGGGCAGGTACCGGTACAATAGAACCATAGAGAGACTTCTCGACTTTAAGCAGAAGCGTGCGATCGCTCGCCGTGTCATCCATGACGCTAAACGCACTTGCTGGCGAGATTATGTCTCCACCATCACCTTTGCTTCCTCTATGAGTGCAGTCTGGAAAAAAGTACGAAAACTGAGTGGTAAATATTCTCCTGACCCGGCTCCTGTTCTGCGGGTTGCCGGTGTTGATATAGCACACCCACTAGATGTTGCCAATGAAATTGGCAATCATCTGGTCCGTATTTCTCAGGGACTCCATCTATGCCCCTCATTTCTTTCCTCAAAGTCTGCCAGAGAGTTAGCACCCTTGGACTTCTCTTCTCTCAGAGAAGAACAGTATAATGTGCCTTTTACACTTCAAGAACTGGAGGCAACACTCTCAGCTTGCCGATCATCGGCAGCTGGGCCCGACGACATTCATATTCGTATGCTACAACATTTACATCAGTCAGCCCTTGCAGTCCTATTACGCCTTTACAATCTTATTTGGTCACAAGGAGTTTCTTCCACAGCTGTGGAAATCCGCCATTGTTCTCCCTTTCCGCAAACCAGGCACTACGGGACTGAAACCTCCCACTATCGTCCCATTGCTCTTACCAGTGTAGTTTGCAAAGTGATGGAACGCTTAGTAAATAGACGTTTAGTGTGGTATTAGAGACACACAACAGTCTCTCCACTAGTCAATATGGCTTTCGTAAGGACGTTCTACCATAGACCCCCTTACTACGCTTGGATACGTATTTCGAATGCCTTTGCGAATAACTACTCAGTTATTGCCATATTTTTTGACCTTGAGAAAGGCATATGACACAACTTGGAGGTATAATATTTTAGCCCAAGCCCACTCCTTAGGCTTCGAGGCAATCTACCATCCTTCCTTAAGAACTTTTTAACTGACAGCATTTCCGTGTTTCGGGTTAATAACGTGCTCTCCCGAACTTTATCCAAGCTGAAGGTGTCCCCAGGATGTGTTCTGAGCACAACACTTTCTCCTTGCTATTAATGATTTGGCCTCTAGTCTTCCATCAAATATTTGGTCACACTCTATGGTTGATGACTTCGCTATTGCCTGTGCAGGCGCTGACTGTCACCTTATTACAGTTTCTCCTCCAGCATGCAGTCGACCGTGTTTTCCCAATTGGGCCACCACACGTGGGTTTAAATTTTCCAGCACTAAAACCCACCAAATTACTTTCACTAGACGCTCTGTCATCTCCGATCATCCTTTGTACCTCTATGCTCCCGTATCCCTGAAACGTGATACAGTCAAGTTTCTAGGCCTCCTCTTTGACCGTAGGTTATCCTGGAAACCTCACATTACCTCTCTGAAGGCAACTTGTCATAGCCGGCTGAACCTTCTTAAAACCCTTGCTCATCTTTCATGGGGAGCTGATCGTCGAACCCTCCTTCGCCTACATTCCACCCTTATCTTATCGAAACTTGATTATGGTGACCAGATCTATTCAGCGGCATCTCCTGCTACTCTCTCTAGCCTTAACCCCATTCATCACCAAGGATTACGTTTATGCCTTGGTGCTTTTCGCTCTTCCCCTGTCGAGAGCCTCTATGCAGAAGCGAACGTTCCATCCTTATCCGATCGCCGTGATGCCCATTGCCTTCGCTACTATGTACGCTCTCATGATCTCCGCAATCCTTCCATTTATAGAATGGTCACTGATATTAGTAGACATTCTTTATTTGTTCGCCGCCCCTGTTTACTCCATTCCTTCTCTCTTCGCCTTCATTCGCTCTTGTCTTCTCTTCAATTACCACCTTTCTATGTACATGTAGCATCTCACTTTTCCCTACCCCCCTGGGAAGTTCCAGCTGTTCGAGTCTGTTCTTTCTCTCTCCCTTGCTCGAAAGCCCGACTGTCTACGGTCGCTTCCCGCTCTCTTTTTCTTGACCACTTTCACTCTCATTCTCATGCCATTGCTGTGTACACAGATGGCTCTAAGTCTTCTGACGGCGTAGGATTCGCAGCAGTGTTTCCGGACAGCGTTGTACAAGGGCATTTACTATCTTCGGCTAGTATTTTTACTGCTGAATTGTATGCCATCCTTACAGTACTTATCCGTATTGCATCTATGCCTGTGTCATCATTTGTGGTTGTCTCAGACTCCCTTAGTACTTTGCAGGCTATACAGAAATTTGATACACCTCACCCCTTAGTCCTCCGTATCCAACTTTGGCTACGCCGCATCTTTACCAAGCATAAAGATATTGTTTTTTGTTGGGTCCCTGGTCATGTTGACGTACAGGGCAATGAACAGGCAGACACTGCTGCACGGTCAGCAGTGACCTACCAGTTTCATGTAGAGGTATTCCATTTACGGACTATTGTGCTGCAATATCTTCCCAACTTCACACCCGTTGGCAACAACGTTGGTCTACTATGCTCGGCAACAAACTTCAATCTATTAAACCGAATATAGGTTACTGGCCGTCTTCTTATCACCAGTGTCGAGGTTGGGAGACTACTCTCTCCCGTCTTCGCATTGGCCATACTCGTCTTACTCATGGATATCTCATGGAGAGGCGCCCTGCTCCTCTCTGTGAGAATTGCCAAGTTCCATTATCAGTCAGCCACATTCTGTTGGACTGCCCACTTTATCAACGAGCACGCAGAATTTACCTCCGTCGTCGTCTTCGCTCTGCTGCTCTCTCTCTACCTTCCCTTCTCGCTGATGGACCCACCTTTCATCCAGACTCTCTCATTGACTTTTTGACAACAACTGACTTACTTCACAAATTCTGATACCTTCAGCCCTTTCTACTTCAATCTCTTGCTACCCTCTACCCCCGTACTATCCCCTGCCCCGCTGTTTTCTGTAACCTACTGATCATCCCTCCTCCCTTCTGCCATCCAATACCCTTGCTTCCTTCCCTACCCTGCAGCGCTGTATAGCCCTTGCTGCAGATTGGGGACTTGCCAGACATTACTGGTATTAGGGAAATGAAAAACAAAAGGCAATACTATTGCTGCAATCAGTATATGGAGATGTGAAGACAGCAACAAAAGCAATTAATCTACCCTAATCTTATGCATGATGAAGTCACAATTCTGGATAACAATATGGCAAATCAAGCAGTTATTCTTGTCAGAACGAGTGATTATGACCTCGTTTACTGTTTTTGACTTGGTGGTTATGGTATAGAAAATTCTGCATATATGGAATCACATAAAGATTTTGAACTAATACTTACAGTGATAATAGTGGCAAGAGCAATAACAACCCCTGTCAGAAGTGTAATATTGTGGCTACGTTGTTTCTTGGTGTTAGCTTCTTTCCAAGAACCTTGGGGAACTGGCAAGTCTGACATTGTAAGCGGTTTGAAATTTGTCACAACAGCCATGCCTCTGCTCATTGCTGCAAGATGCCAAAGAAAAGATTACTACGGGAAAAAACATATCTCAGCCACATCTAAAGCCTGTCTATTTTCATTGTTACCTAAGCCTAAGGCTCAGGTAACAATGAAAATGGACAGGAGAGTTCAACTTGGTTAACTAGTTACCCAAGTTGGACTGAAATGTCAGTATCACGTGTGATTTATTTGTGTACTGTTCCAGTCACAGTATTGTGCCTTTTTTCTTAAATTATTGCATTACCCAGCATTACACACAATTATCATATGGTACATTTCAAACTAGGATTCAGCCTATCTGTAAAAAAAAAAAAGGAATTTTTAATCTACAGTAATCTGTGTCTGTTATGTATTTTAATGCACTGCAATAGCTGTTCCTACATTTTACTTTTTAGCAACTTCCAGTGATTTGCACAAGATACTAACTTTGAATAATTAATATCTAGACCTGTATTATCTACAGCATTACTAGTAGACAACTCATGAGCTGACACATGTTAATTCAAAACTAACATTTAGTAGGAGAAACCTTTATAAGATATTTCACCCACAGTGAGACTTCAAGTACAGTTAACCCTCCATATAATGAACTTCAGACATGTGGAACAAAATCCACTAGCTCAGTCAATTTGGAAACAGAAGTGCCCATTACTGTTACAATTATGACCAAACTCTCTTCTATCCACCACAGCTGCCATTTCCAGCCACCTGCTTCCCACCTCAATTAGTCCATTATATGGAGGGCTTACTGTACAAGAAATGAGCAAAAGAAAAGACGACACTGACATTGTGAGATCCATCGTAACCTCAAAGACTGGAGGAAAGCACAAAGATGCACTGAGGCAGCTACTATCCACCTCGTGCAAATACACAAAAAAAAGAGGAATGTAAACATTAGCAAAAAAGGTTGCACACATTGTCCAGGATCAATATATAAAGCATATTATTAGTAAAGTAAAATTTTAATGGACTTTGATTAACAGATGTCTGAGTTCAGACATAATATGCTAGGTAAATGGATTTTGCAAACAGCATTGCTTAAAGGATTGTCCATCAATGTTGCTATCAGTTGGGTAATCAGTTTTAGAAATATCGGACAAATCCCACTGGCTGCCAACTTCTCATTCAAGTTTAACCAATCAACATTTCTGCAGAGTTTAACCTCTACTTAACAAACCTTGATTAAACAGATTTTGGATTTAATACACATTTCATAGTCCAGATAGCCTAGAGAAAATGATAAAATCCTGAAAAACGGGTGAAGTTCATTAATTTTAGAATTATTACTGTTTTAGTCCACTGGGTAAATAGATTTCAGATTTAATGGATAGTCTTATTAATTAAATACAGAATTATTCATTATTTTTCTATGTAATCTTTTTTCCATGATTGTAATATTCTTGGATTTAGAGAGCACACAGCATTACTGAATGCCCTCACCCCTCTATTAGTCCAATAAATCAAGGCTTCACTGCATTCATGGATAGGGCAGGGGGAAAACTAAACCCACAGGGGCCATACAGCGGCTGGGGAAGGGGAGGCAATCGGATTTGATCCAAAGGAAGATCGGGTCCAATTCCTCGAGTCAAGGAATTGGACCCTCGCCAACATCTAGGAACCTTTGTGCAAGACAGGTATACAATACCGACAAGATGAAAGTTAAGACACTTGTGCAACATCTGGTTATCTTTATTGTAAACGTTTCGCCATCCAGTAGATTTATCAATACAAATTCTTTGTATTGATAAAGCCACTGGATGGCAAAACGTTTACAATAAAGATAACCAGATGTTGCACAAGTGTCTTAACTTTCATCTTGTCGGTATTGTATACCTGTCTTGCACAACTTGTCAGGCACTGCAACATCATGGTATCTTGATTCAGAGGACATCTACATGACCTTCACGACTTCTACAACTAGCCCATCAATTTGGAAAGGACCTAGTTCCACTGGGGAATCCCGCCTACAAGTGACTATGCCCTCGTCTGCTACACGTCTCTCTTCACTGACGCCTATATAAGCGCCAGTCTCCTTACCTGTGCTTCAGAATCTCTACAACCACGGTGTTGTAAACACCACCTCCAAGGCTGAGGGACTGATTACCTCATATTTTGTATATAGTTCTTCTGTTTTCTAATTATGTCCAAGAATTTGTATTGATAAAGCCACTGGATGGTGAAACGTTTACAATAAAGATAACCAGATGTTGCACAAGTGTCTTAACTTTCATCTAGGAACCTTTGAAGGGAACAAAGTATAAGATTCCTCAACTTGACACCCAAATCCAGGCCCCTAGCTTTCTCTTGGTATCACCAAATTTTCTTTGCACTGACCTCTTCATTATGTGATCTGACCTCAGGATGCTGGTATGCTTATACAGCTCATTTCTATACCCGATAGTCCCACTGTGGGTGAAATGTTGCACAATAAACATTTTCCCTGTAATACTTACCTCAATTAGTGTAAACCTGCCAGTTAAGCATTTGATATTTTTATAAATGTAGAGATATACTGGGGTAAAGTAACATGTCACTAGATTAAGTAACCACATCATTTCTGTGTACATATCTTATTTTGATAACCTGTGTAACAAACCATACCCCGGCCGGGGTTGAACCCGCAGTCAGAGAGTCTCAAAACTCCAGCCCGTCGCGTTAGCCACTAGACCAGCTGGCCACAATAAGATTCGTCCAACTAGGTATATTTCTACACCATAGGAAGGTTAGCACAGGCACCACTGTGACCACAAATGCAAGTTTTTACAGACGAATCTCCAGCTAGCGTGGCCGTGACGAACTCTAGCCCAAGTCCCTTCACTGCCGTCAACATGACTCACAAAATCGTAATGCCTGTGCTAACCTTCCTATGGTGTAGAAATATACCTAGTTGGACGAATCTTATTGTGGCTAGCTGGTCTAGTGGCTAACGCGACGGGCTGGAGTTTTGAGACTCTGACCGCGGGTTCAACCCCGGCCGGGGTATGGTTTGTTTGCAATCGTGTCATTACGATTTCTTGAGTCAACCTGTGTAACAGTAACTTTATGTACTTTTTATAGCATAGTGTATCTAACAGATGCACAGCAAAAGGACCTTGTTCGAATTATATACGAGAAACTTCAGGGATATCCTAGATTAACATTTTTTTTTCTTTTTGAAGATTTTAATGGCTATATGCAACACTGTTCAAATCTGGATACAAATTACAGTAAAAGTACCTTTGTACGTGATGTGACAAAAATTACTAAATACAAAATGCTTAAAATTTAAAGAAACTGTGGTACATAATACTGTAGAGAAAGAATGATCAAAAATAAATTTCTCAATTTACACAAATTCAACATTGCAAAAAATTTTAATTTTTTTGAAAAACTAAATTACTGGTACAATGGAACCTCTACTTACGAGTGCATCCACGTGCGAGTTTTTCCAGATACGAGCAGTCGCTCTGTCAGTTTTTTGCTTCCAGATGCGAGCAGACCTCAAGGGAGGTTCCTTGATGCTGGTGAGGGGCTCTTGCTCTTTGATCAAGGGAACTGGATCTCAGTTTGTTGGACTATCTTATTCAAACTTGGGCAATGCATGCTGGAAAGCTGCTTCTTAACGTACACCAAAAGTGAAAGAAATCAGACCATAAATAACCATAATTAACGGAGTTCACTTCTCAGTCATTAGCCTCCCCTTAGCGGTATATTTTCATATGTTTTTTATGGGTGTATTCTCGTTTTTTTGGTTTCGTTTGATAGAATGGAAGATATACTACAGAAATATATACGATTTTGATTGGTTTCACAAAAAGTACGTTGAAATTGAGCTCAAAGTAGCAGAAATGTTCGATTCTTTGGCTATGTTCAAGAGTAAACAAATGACGTCACTGTCCAATACCTGTCCTCAACCTTCACACATTGGAAAGCTCTTCAGCATGCTAGCAAAAGTGGGAGCAGACATCATGAGGCAGCAGTGGCAGACAACATGAAGCAGCAGTAGCAGACATGAAGCAGCAGTAGCAGACATGAAGCAGCAGTGGCAGACAACATGAAGCAGCAGTGGCAGACCTTGTACCCTGTACTATAAACGAGTTCTGAACACCACGAGATGGCAGTATGTATCAAAAAGCTCGGTCCACTCCACTCGCGGTGGAGGGAATTCTTGTGTTTTCCTTAAACAGCATTTCGTGCAGTTATTTTGCAAAATTTCTTGTTTCTAACCATGGGTTCTAAGAAAGTGCAAAGGACTGTGCTGAGAAGAAAAAGAGGATTTCCATGGAATTAAAGCAGGAAATAATAAACAAGCTAGGTGGAGGGTTAGGGACTTGGCCAGGCAGTACCAGCATACCACTTTACGATATGTACAATACTAAAGCAGGAGGAGTCAGTGACAGTGTAGCATTAAGAGTGTCGTAATTATAAGTCACACTGACTTTTTTGGGTTATCCTAGGTACTCTTCACATGTAGTCAGGAGCAGGAATGGCTGCTGTGGTGGCCCTATAAATCCCAACAATGGCCGCTGTCACCACCACTAGCCACATAATTAATCCGTTCCTGGAAGTGTTACTATTATTGAAATTTACGATTTTCGAATCGATTTTCCCCATAAGAAATAAAGTAAATACAATTAATCCGTTCCTGACACCCAGAAGTACTAAAACAAAAATTTTTTTTACATGAAATATAGATGTAGTACATAATACAATGGGACATGAATGAAACATTAACAGCATAACACTTGCCTTTATTGGCGATTCTTCTTAGTGTATGGAAGACTGGAGGAGGAGAGAGATTGGATTATTTACAGTTTGGAAGGGGAATCCCCTTCCATCAACACCTCAGGTACCAATTGCTTTTCTGGGGTTCTCTTTTTTTTTCTTAATGCCACTAGGACCAGCTTGAGTCACTGGAGTCCTGTCTCGCAAAATAACTGTCCAGAGAGCTCTGTTTCTGGCGTCTCTTTAACACTTCCCTGAAATGGGCCAAGATTTTGTCACTGTACATGTTGCCAACATGGCTTGCAACAGCCTTGTCAGGGTGATGTTTCTCCATAAATCTTTCCATCTTACCCCACATTTCAAAAATCTCCTTAATTTCTGAAGAAGGCAACTTCTTCCATCTCTCTTCCTCCTCCTCCTCCTCTGCAGCAAGATTCTGAGCTGCGATGTGTTGCTCTTCCTGTTGAAGCTCTTGCAGCTCCTCAGTGATGAGCTCTTTGTTGTGGTCTTCCACCAACTGTTCTACATCCCCCAAATTCACATCCAACCCCATGGAACTCCCCAGTGCCACAATAGATTTAACAACTGACATAGGCTCATCAGGGTCAGCCCCAAACCCTTCAAAATCCCTCTTGTGGACACAATCTGGCCACAATTTTCTCCAAGCAGAGTTCAAAGTCCTGGTAGTCACTCCCTCCCAAGCCTTACCTATAAGGCTTATGCAATGGAGGATGCTGAAGCATTCTCTCCAAAAATCTCTTAGGGTCAAGTGAGTGTCTGAGGTCACATTCAAGCACCTTTGAAACATTGCTTTGGTGTAGAGTTTTTTAAAGTTTGCAATGACCTGCTGGTCCATGGGCTGGAGGAGAGGAGTGGTATTTGGGGGCAAGAACTTTACTGTGATGAACCCAAACTCCTTGAAAATTAGGTCATCCAAGTTTGGAGGATGAACAGGTGCATTGTCCATTACTAGGAGGCACTTGAGATCCAATTTCTTTTCCAGGAGGTAATTCTTCACACTAGGGCTGAACACTTCATTGAACCACTCGACGAAAATTTCCCTCGTGACCCATGCCTTACTATTAGATTTCCAAAACACACACAATTTACTCTTCATAACATTGTTTTTCCTGAACACTATGGGATTTTCATAATGGTACACTAGTAACGGCTTCACTCTGAAATCCCCACTAGCATTAGCACAGAACATGAGCGTCAGCCTGTCTTTCATAGGCTTGTGTCCTGGGAGTGCCTTTTTCTCCTGAGTAATGTAGGTCCTCTGACATTTTCTTCCAAAAGAGCCCTGTTTCGTCACAACTGAACACTTGTTCAGGTTTCAGTCCTTCAGCCTCTATGTACTACTTGAATTCATGCACATTTTTCAGCCGCTTTGTGGAATTCATGCACATTTTTCAGCCGCTTTGTGGTCCGAACTGGCAGCCTCACCATGCCTTACCACACTGTATGCCACTACACTTATTAAATCTCTCAAACCAACCTTTGCTGGCCTTAAATTCACTCGCATCACTAGTTGAAGGCAATTTCTTTACCAGATCGTCGTGCAACTGCCTAGCCTTTTCACAAATAATCGACGTCATAAGACTATCTCCTGCTAATTGTTTCTCGTTTATCCACACCAATAATAACTTCTCAACCTCTTGGAGTACTGGTGATCTCATTTTTGTCAGCATATTTACCCCCTTTGCAACAACAGCGTCCTTGATTTCCTTTTTCTTGGCCACGATGGAAGCTATGGTTGTATGGGATTTGTTATACATCCTGGCCAGTTTGGCCATACGTACGCCACTTTCATATTGTTCAATGTTTTTCCTAAATTCAATCGTATTTCTCACCACCTTTACCAAAGGCTTGGCACTAGGAGCTTTCTTTGGAGCCATGGTAGCCTATTTAGTAGTTGCAAGCACTAAAATGAATGGAATATTATAAAATACTGCATTTCGTATGAGCAAGTGAGGGGACCGTCGCTCACTGGTAAACAATGCCACACTGGCTGGGAAGGGAGGCTGGGGCGGCTCTGAGCGTGAGTACGTGTCCCGGACAAATGACTATTCGCGAGTCAATCTACGATTAGTGAACCAATGTTTTGATGAAAATATCGTTATGATTTCCGAAAATTACGACTATCGAGCCCTACAATTATCGAGGGACCACTGTACGTAATGACATGTATCTTATTCATTCTAGTGTATATATCATGTTTCTGTGTTGTTATTGTCATATTAGATGAATTGTGATAGATAAATAAGCCATAGAGTTGATATTAAGGAAATTATTGAAGTATTTTGTCATGCCTGGAATTCCACTGGAACAAATTTATTCCATTTCAGTTATATACTGGGGTCATAGTGGTACCATCCACCATGGGATCTTGATACAAAGAATTCTTCAACCTTGACCAACCTTTGGACAAAGATGTACTTCAACTAGTGGATGGTACCACTATGACCCTGCCAACTCCTGCTTTGCCTCACCTGACTACAATACATAAGCCACGTCTACAGCCCTATGCTGTACTTTCTACAAGATTGATGGACTGAACACATCAACTCCAGGCTGAGGGACTGATTACCTCAAACTCCTCCTCCTCTCCTTACACCCTTCTGATTTGTATTGGAATTTTTACAGCTAGAAAATATTGTGCCAGTTAAAGGGAACTGTATGTAGCCAGAAATCAAATCTAATCTTTAATGTTACAAATAAAAGTTATATAAACATCTCAATGCCTGCGTATTAGTAGCCTGTTAAGATTTCTTCGAATTTTTAACCCGGAGGGTTAGCCACCCAAAACAGCCCAAGAAAGTCATTGCATCACTGAAGACTGTTTTATTTCTACTGGGGTTCTTGAAGCTTGTTCCCCAGCATGCGACCCACACAGGGACAGCAGGTATAAAGGAAACATGCCCAACATTTCTGCCTATGCCAGGGATTGAACCACAGACATTCAGTGAGTGAAGCAAGAGTACTGCCAACCAAGCCACAGGACACCACGAGTATCTTTCTGGGAAATCACATTTTTTCATCTTTCTCGAGTTATCCTGACTTAACCCGCTGGGTTCAATAAGACAGGTAAAAATTGTGTATTATACCTTGGAAAAGGTTGGACTTCGAAATGTGCCAAGTAGGAAAACAGCTCTCAACCTGTACATTAAACTGTAAAAAGCTAAAGACCAAAGGCATTCTTTGGATCAATAACCTCTGAGCACTAATAACTCGCAGTAACCCAAGAAACAAGAGCAAGATAGGGTTTTCTTCCATTGGTGTCCTTTTGTTTGCCGTCACAATACAATGTGTTAAATATAAATTAACCTGACCAATGACACTATGATCTCCAAGAGTTCAGTACTTCCCCGTATAGAGTAAAAAAAAAATATATGCTTGCTATTTACCAACACAGGTTCAGTTTCCAGGTAGGGCAAGACCCATGGGCAAGTCTCCTTACACTTTCTGTCCATGTTCACCTAACAGTAAATAGGCACTTGGGTGTTAGGTGCTGTGGATGGCTTCCTGGGGAAGAGGACCAATAGACAAGCTTTATTCAGGAAATTTTTTTTTTGTATATTTAGTATATACGTATTTATACAACGGTTCTGAAGGCACATGACTTATGAATACATTAGTGAACCGTTTGGATTATAATAAAGAATTTAACCAAAACCCAATTAAATCAATATGTAATTTTCATTGTATTCTAGATGCAGTGATCATACAGAGCCTGGGGAGTGGAAGGCATAACCCACAAGTGTAGTATTATGAAGGTCAGGAAGACTGGAAATAGTCGATCCAAGGAGGATGGGACCATTTCCTTGGATCAAGAGCCCCCTCACCGGAAGTCACCTAGAGGGGTATTTATTTCCACTGGGATTAACATCAATAAGCCACAGAACTTGGTCTACTGTGACTATTAACCCACGTCTATCCTAGGGTTAATATTTCCCAGTCGTCTTCGTTGTGAGGCTGAGTTATTACTCTTGCTAAGATAATTATGTAATCTAACAAATCTATAATTAGCCTAATACCTGCTGCCACCGGTCACGTAGCTCACTGGTCACGGATACAAGTTATTTCCATGTACTATATGTGAAATGTACCTAAAGTAACCTATGTACGAAGATAAATAAAAAAAAAAAAACAGCCGGCAATCACAGGTTGGGTTTCCTATGACGACATCACAAGTGATGGCTGAAATTATCTTTCACCCTCCACATGTCCGTGGAGGTCGGCCCCTTGTCCATATGATACTTACGCTGAGCCTTGAAGGCATTTAATGTAGAGAGAGCGGTCCTGGCCAACATTGTGGATATTAAAAAGTACTTCTGCAGGAGTGTGATGGGAGGTATGTGACGGTCCCGCTGCTGCTGCACTCTGCCGCACCCTCCACGCACCTCTAACTCTCTACATCAATATCACTTCAATATATTATTAATTATTTTGTTTACACCTGATAAAACTTACTTCACTATTATATTCATCAATTTTATGTATTCAAATTTATAGAAAATCTAAGAGAGTGATGCTTTTGCTCCATAAATACGGCAATCGGAGGGCATTCATTTGCAAACAAATAATTATTAAATTCATGAAGAGATACGAAATAATTTGCATAATATTAATTTGATCTGTAAATAAATAAAATATGGGATGTGGCTAACAAAATAAGTAATATCCTTTTATTAAACACTTTCCTTTACAAATATGGACATTTTATTGATGCAAAGGCAGAAAGAGGATTTGTAAGAATATTAGAGAAATTATAACTACGATAGAATGTAAATATTATTTTATATGATCATTAGTAATGAGTTTTGTTGCAAGAGTTTGAGGATCTCGCTTGATGCTCCTTGAGGCAGGACGGGAGGGTCTGGGACCTGGGTGTCGTCCGCTTTGTTTACTTCAGTTTGTGTAGAGACGGTGTGAGGGGGGGATGTGTGCGCCTCCAGTCATGCTGTGAGATGTGAGTGCCTGGTGAGATTGTTTGCAAAGCTTGATGATGCTCACTTTGGTGTGTCATTGGTGAAGGATGAGGAAGTGGGCATCGTCATGAGTGTTTTTAGTGAATTCCACAAGGCGTGGCGTGCCAGGTTCCCCGGGAATGATCTGCCGGCGGCATGGGAGGAGGATGTTCGTGCAAACTTAGCCAAGCATCGCTCACGAGTCGCCGTGTTAAAGGAAGAGCTGGAGAAGGAACAGTTTTATGTCGAGTACTTAGAGTGCCTCTTAAATGATGTTCAGTGTCAGCAGATGCAGAAGGGCGAGTCTCATGAGGACTTTGAGAGGGAAATAGTTCACGAAGAAGAGAGAGGCCAAGGGGAGGGTAGTGAAGGGGCGGCTCCAGGGTGCTCAGGTGGGGTGGATTCTGCTGTTACTCAAGCTATCAACACCATGATGGTGCAGCGACGCCATCACCCCATGCAGGCATCTTCTGTCGAGGAATTGGTATCTCCAGAGGAAAGGTCGAATGAGGAAGAACAAACTCCCTTTAAAATGGAGGGGGCGAGGTCAGCACCACTTTCAGAAGAAGAGGATGGTCCCCTGGCACCTATCACGCCTCTGGCCGCCCCTCCGCCTGCGGGGGGCAGCTCTGTTAGGGATCTAGCACGTCGCTTCACAACCTCGTCAGGTAGCTCCAGTGTGACGGGACGTCCACCAGCCTACAACCGCTCAACTTCAGTACCCGTTACCACTTCCAGTGTCCTACCGGGAAAGGAGTCCCAGTTTGTCACTGTGATATCTGTCAACGGCGCTGGGCAGGGGGAGGACGCCCGCGGACGGAAGGTGCCGCCGGCCCCTCCGCCGAAGACCTTCCGGCGATCTTCCGGTGCAGACGGTGAAATTGAAGCTAAAGGCGCCACAACGCCCTCGTCCCCGGGGTCCTCACGCCCACCCCATGCTATCCCACGCTCTCCCCAGCGCCCCCGTCACCCATCTCCCACCAGGGACATTCAGTCTTCTGCCCCGGCGAAGGCACCCTTGCAAAAAACCCTCTCTGCCTCTAGTGACGGGCGCCCCTCCACTAGGGATCAACACAGGTCTCCCCAGTGCGGTCGGGACCTACAGAAGTCTCCCACCAACCCAAAGGAGCTACAGAAGTCTCCATCAAGCGCCTCCTCCACAGGCAGCTTGGGCAAAAAGTGCGTCTCCAAGTCCTCATCAAGCGCGTCCTCTTGTGGGGGTAGTGGAGGCGCTCCCCCTCGCCTCATTGGCCTTAGCAAGACGTCGTCATTGTCGTCCTCGAGGTGTGGCGAGGATGAGGACGAGGTAGGCGGAGGCTCGGCCTCGGGGGCTTCACTCGAGAATCTAACAGATGACGAGCCGCTATACGACACAGTTGCTCCTGACGAGGACGACGACACGGGCGAGTACGTGTTGCTCTCGGACAAGAGCTCAGAATACAACGGCACGGACACCCTCAAGTCAGCAGCGTCAGGAGCGTCGAGCGAGGGCGGTCTCAGTAAGGGCGGTGGGGCTTCGTCAGGAGCCACGCCCTCAGGAGGTTCACCTGCACCTGACCACCCACCGGACTCGCCCAAGTACTCCAACTACGTCAACATAGACTTCTTCCTCAAGAAGTAAGTGTTAGCGTGAGGTCTCTCGGGGGGCTTCACTCATGTTGAACACCTATCCACATTTTACTATGTAGATAGATGTTCAACATATAATGCATACTTAATCACAAAACACATCTGTGTACTTTAAATATACCCCTCAAACCCCGAGTATTTTATACTGAATCATCTTTGTACCAAGAATGTATCCTTTAAACTCTGAGTACCATATTACTTTAAAAATAAGCATGGGGCGATTCAAAAAATTTTTGCCAATACCAGTAACCTGCGTTCCCATGCCCAGCCCTGTGTGAACTGAACAGAGTACGCATCCCTCTATCCACTAGAGTAGACCATCCTGAACAAGACAAGCCATCAGGGGCTATGCTCTCAAGGGGAGGTTCCTTGATGCTGGTGAGGGGCTCTTGATCTAGGAAATTAGATCTGTTACTGTTCCCTGAATTAAACATGAATGCCTTTCATCCCGCCACAGGCACTGCATAATCACTTCGGGTTTAGCCCCCCCCCCCCGATGGAATCACCCTGCAAGCCTGGAGAGATAGCACCTACATTGGCTGATACCTATCTCCAACACAGCAAGAAGGAAGGAGAGGCAGCTGCCAGCTTCAGAGAGTCCCAAAAGTCTAGAAATTATGGGGAACTTGCCCACCATATGTTTGAGGCAGCGCTGTATGACCATTATCGGTGTAGCACTTTCTTTGATTATTATAATAATATATGTTTGAGAAAGATACACGATAATATACACTTGGAAAATCCTAGAGGAATTAGTACCAAATTTGCACACGAAAATCACTCCTTACGAAAGCATACGGCTTGCCAGGAGACGCATCATTCCTCCATATAGCCCTTGTGGCTTAGCGCTTCTTTTTGATTATAATAATCATTCCCCCAGTGAAAAGCAGGAGTGCCAAGAGTACACTAAGAGAACAATAAGTGTCAGGGGCCCCAAGACTGTTCAACGGCCTCCCAACATACATAAGGGGGATTACCAATAGACCCTTGGCTGTCTTCAAGAAGGTGCTGGACAGGCACCTAAAGTCAGTACCTAATCAGCCGGGCTATGGTTCTTACGCCGGTTTGCGTGCGGCCAGCAGTAGCATCCTGGTTGATCAGTCCCTGATCCACCACGAAGCCTGGTCTCAGACCGGACCGCGGGGGCGTTGACCCCTGAAACTCTCCGGGTATAATCTGAGAGACCCTTGGTCCATAGGGTCTCTCAGAAAAAGATTCATTAGAACAACTAGGGATCCCAAGGCAGGTAGTTTTTTATTCCAGCGACTCTATGTTGCACTTCAGAGGGGTAATGCCTGTTGTGTACTAGGTACCTGCCCCAGCTCTGAGAAGCTGCATAAGATTTTTTAACAAACGCGTAGCAATATGTACTTGTATCCCTCAAACCTGGTGTATTGTATATGCCATCTCTGTACCATCAATGTATATTTAAAGCTTGTGTACCATATTACTTAATAAAATATACATATTGAAAAAAATAAAGGCTGGGTCTTAGGGAAAGCGAAATGCATGTAATCAAACAGCTTCAAGAAAAAATCCAAATATTCTATTGTGTATAACCCTTGTGGCTTAGCGCTTCTTTTTGATTATAATAATAATAATCTCCAAGGCCAAAGCTCCTCAAGGGAGGTCCCTTGATATGGTGAAGGGCTCTTGATCTAGGGAATTGGATCTATGCTCCAGTTCCCTGAATTGAGCCTGAATGCCTTCCATCCCCCCCACATGCGCTGTATAATCCTGTGGGTGTAGCGCTCCCCCATGATTACAATTATAATTCAAGGCCAAGCAAGGGTTCCCGCAATTTGCACTAGAGGCGGACCCTATATGTATGCGTGAAGAATGCTTATCCATATACCTACACGTTTTTTGTATTTTTGCACATACCGTGCCAAATCGCCGAGTTTGGCCTATTTGGCAAGGGTGTTCTTTGCTGAATGAAAATGAAAACTGTTTTTGCCATAAATCAGCGGAAATCAGTCTGAACTTAAAGGAAAAATGTCTGATTTGAAACTTAAATAAATTTAAATTGACCTATGCTATACATAGCAGAATTTAGCTAAAAAAAAAAGTGTGCAGCATAATCGCAAACAGATCTTAATGCAGAGCAAGGCACATGGGGATGGAAATCTTAAGCTCAAGATCTTTCACACTTGCATCGTCAGGAGCTATGCAGTGTTGTAAGCCTAGCAACAGATAGGAGGGAAAAATTCTCTCAGAGGCAAATTAGGAGGAGCATGCCAGCGTCGACCCATATACCACTGTAGGGCCGCCAGCTAGTCGACCACACCTTCCCTTTTCCTCACCGCCACGTTTGGGATAAGATGAGAACCCTTTGAGGTTTACAGAAAGCATGTTACATAATGTGGAAATGTGATAGCCCAAAACCGCATCTAATCACTATCAAATGATCCAGTGCCATATGAAATCAAGTTACCTAGGTGGTTAATACACCCACACACACACTAAGTTTTATGTAACTTTGCATTAGTATACAAATCAGATGTGCTTGTCACCGTATACTATCATACTTCCAGACAATACCAGAACACAAGATTCCTACACGTTTACCTTCTGTCATATTCACCTATCCGGCTCCAAACAAAGGCTTGTTAACACATCCTAAGTATTATAATAGTAACTGTTCATAGATATGCTAAGAAACTTGAATGTCTAATGTCATTAGGAATGCCTTGCGGTATCCTAGGCAACTCCCACATGCTGCTATGTATAACAGTCACCATCACCTATATGTAGTTATGCGTGATCATTAGTTATAACGTCTGGATCTTCTATCACTCAGATCCCAGTTACGTTAAGTTGCTAAG